AGGTGCATGTGTTCATGGTGCGTACATCATCCGGTAACATCAGACTCAACACAGTGCTTTGCAGCTTCGCTTCCCCCCAGCAGGAAGGTGACCATGATTCCAGGTCTTCCTGGCTGTGGGCATGTGTAACGTGTTGCATGGTGTGGTGTAGCTGACCTTCCCTGACGACACCTGAGGTTGAGCATATTTGTTAGTGTTTGCTCCCTGCTCCAGCTCCCTCCCTGTAGAAAATGTCAGTTTAGATAATAGGTATTAGATGGCCACCATCATGCCCTGGCTCCCTTTCTGGGCACGCATGCAGCCTGTCCCCAGCTTACTGAGACACATGCAGTCACATCCACGCTGTGCGAGTGAAGAAGCGTGTCCCCTCCTCAAGCTCATGGAGGACATGGGCCAGCCCAGCTGAAATCCAGTTGTATTGCTGCTTTTGTCTGTTTTTCTTCCCAGTGGTTCACACCATTCAGGAAGCCCTTCAGCTCACTGCTCCAAAAACAGCGGGTCTCTGGACACCTCCAAAGTTTACATTGTGTCCCACAGTGGCAGCCAGCAGGCCCCCAACTCAGGGTCCAAGCCCTACCACCGGCACGGTGCTGTGAGCAAGTATGTCATCGGTTGGAAGAAGTCCGAGGGCAGCCCGCCACCCGACGGGCCTGAGGGGACCCAGGGGACCGCGTGCACGGGGTAAGGTGCTGTTCTTCTCCGGAGGCTGGGCACACCGTGGGGGGCTGGCTCACAAAAGAGCTTCCCCAAGGGGAGGTGGTAGCTCAAAAAGAGGACTCTGAAACCTCTTTGTTACAGAAAAATTTCAAATGCTAGTATTAGTGTATCTCATTAAAATTGGTGTCTCCTCTTTCCTTGGATTTTACATTAAAATTTTAAAGAAGTTAGAATTTTTTGTTCATATGTTCAAAAGTTGCTTTCAGTAAGTCATGTGATATATATATGTATGAATATATAAAAGTCATATAATGTGTTGATATAGTTAAAATTTATGAATGATACACAGGTGGATTCTGTGCAGACAGACACACGACAGTTTGAATTCCCATGGAGCCGTTTGTTTCCTGGAAATTCTGTGTGAATGTGGAAGTTCTGTCATGCAGGACACACTCCTGCCAGGTTTCATCTGAGCAATGTACTTACTTACAGACATGCTGAGAAAAAGGTCGATGCCAAGGACAGTAGGATTAGAGCATGTAGAGCTCAAGTTGGTGGTTCAAACCCCCTTCCCCAGCAGCTGCACAGAGGAAAACTGACTCCTGATTGACTCCTATAAAGATGACAGCCTACAAAATTCTCCAAGGCCAGGCCATTATGATATGGTCCTTGTGAGCCCAAGACAATTCCCAGAAAAGTCCTGCTGGGTGCAAAATGTGAAACCATTTTGAGCTAGAGAAGATGCCTGGCGTAGCTCTGAAATGACTCTTAAAATATCTTTAAAATAGTATGGTAGCATCCTCATTGATTATTTCTATTAAAAAAATATGAGCTCACAGTTTAAAATGCAATTTACAAGAACTAGATGTTATTTTATTTTTATTTTTTTTTTAATTGAGCAGCTCTTGAGCGTCAATGTGGGAAAATTTGTATTAGGCATTCAAAGTCCAAACTCAGTTACTCTCCAGCCCATTTCCAGGGGATCTTGGTCTGAGGCGAGGTAAAGAACGCAGTGCCCGAATGCGCTGTATGTAGTTCTGGGGAATGGCATTCCCTGTGACAAGCTGGCACTGCTAATACAGGATGGACAGTGCCCCTTTGAGGTGCTCTCCCCACCATGTCTTTGAGCACTCTGAGAAACTCCGTATCTTCCATGACCTTGCCCCTTCATCAGTCATCTTTCTGGTCAGATGGTGATCTAAGCAGAGACCCGGGACTGGCTCACATGCTGACCTCCACCTCACATCGTACTGGGCCGACCTCCCTGGGCCTGGTCACTTCCTATCCATCTCGGGCAACAGCTTCCTATCCATATCGGGCAACAGCTTGGCCAATGGGGACGTTACCTGGCACAAGCTGTTAATGTCCCACTGTGAGCACTGAGGGTGCTCCTTCATAAACTCTGAGCATGTCGTCACTCTGTGGCTTTGCTTCAGGGCCTCCAGGACCTGGGGTGTTACCCAATGCAGGCCTTTTGATGTCCCAAATCAGGCCCTGTGGGTACCCTCCTCATACTCTGAGTGTGTTATCCTTCCGTGGCTTTGCTGCCGGGCCTCCAGGACCTGGGACATCACCTGGCATAGGCCTCTTGACATCGCACTGTAGACACTGAGGGTCCCCCCTTCATACACTCTGAGCTCATCATCCCTCTGTGTTTTTGCTGCGAGGCTTCCAATACCTGGGCCTCCTGGGAGATAGCTCACAAGCAAGGCAAGTCTTTAGGACATTTTTTAAATCATGTACCAGATTTCTTTTCAGGAGGTTTTCACAAGGTCTTTGTTCATGTGGTCAGTGTTTGCTGGGCTTGCAGCATCTCGGTGCACACAGCACAGGCTGCCCTGGCTCAGGGACGAGCATGGGTTGCACAGGTGTGCACTGTTCTCCATGACCAAGTGCATCTGAACACACTCTACGTTCCCAGTCTAGCCATTTCCTAGGGAGGTATCTTATGGAGGCATGTCCGCCTTGCTCCATGGCCCCAGGACTCTATGGGTCATCTCCCAGGGCTCTCCGGGGGTCAGTTTCTGCAAAGTCGAATGTCCTTGCTACGTAGGGATGGCCTTCGACCTCCACCAGCCGAGCCACCCTCATTATCCACTGTGTCTCTAGGCATGTTGCTCAGATGGCATTTCTCAGAATAAACCTTTCTTTAAAAGGCTCGTTGTTTTCCTTCCTGGGAGAAGGCTGAAAACAGTGATTCTGCAGGACAGTCTTTTGTTGCCTTTCATTACATTTTTATGCCCTGATAATGACAGGAGACAGCTGCTTTATTTATGCAAGCATCTTTGTGAAATTTCTGGTCATAAACTTGCGTGGCGCACCCTGGCACTGGTGGCTCCTCTCTCCAGCCCCTCCCCAGTTGGCTTTCTGGGTGGCCACAGTCACATGTGAATGTAGCTGTCCAGTCTCAAGAGAAAAGTGCACCTGCATCTCTGAGAAGCATCAGAGTGGCTTCAAAAGGCATTCAGTAATCTCTGATGAATTATTGAAACTGTTTTCCAACAGATTAAGAAAGGGGAAACGGCCTTCTTTAAAAATTAGCTATATTTTCTTTGCATCCTGGGCTTTGAAGATTTGTTTTGTTTCTGAATTATTCAGTGATCTCACTTTGCAGTTGAACTCATTTCACAAATGCAAAAAGGCACGGGGATTTGGAGCAAACACAGCAGAAGTGAACTGACTAAATAAGAATGTGGAGTGTGTGTATGTGGTCATGGAAACCGGTGATTAGATTTTTATTTCTGGTGCTGAAAGTGCTTTTCCAGCGAGGCTCCTAATGCCTCTTCATTTTAGCTCTGATTTCTTTCTATCCACAGAATGTACAGTGAGATAGACGCCATGTCGACAGCTGGTCAGCTCCAGACGGTGGTAGGGGATGCCGTGTCCGAAACTCCACATGTTCTGTCAAAAGAAGACTTTCTGAAGCTGATGCTTCCTGACAGCCCCTTAGTGGAGGAGGGGAGAAGGAAGGTGGGTGTTTTATGGTGCTTTGGGCTTACTAGAAAGGGGGTGGGATGATAAACCAGGTCAGAGTGCTTTCATATACAGATTCTCTCATGAACCTTATACAAGTTCTCTCTGAGGGCTGTGTGGCCGATTGTTTCAAAGTTGGTTTTTATTAGTAAGCAGTGGTTCTGGGGTGAGCTCCAAGTCCAGGCCCCAGGGAACCTCTGCTGTGATCCTATATACTTTTTACCTGACCTTCCCACTCAGCCACCCTTGGCTGGAAGCTGGAAATGCTGGACTGCAGAGATAGAGACAAGAAATAGCATGGAAAAGCTACTGCAGGGCCTGCCCTTAACTGGTGACCAAACAGTAACAACTGTACAAAGTGCTCAAAATTGACACTGTGCCCATTGTCAACTCATTGCCATTGAGTTGGGACTGTGCATAGGGGATCTCTCAGAAGCAGTAAATCACACAGGAGGAGATTACTGTCTTTCTCCTGCATTGCAACTGGTGGATTCAAAATTCAAAACACTCACCTTTAGGCTGGCCACACAGCTCCTTACCCACTTAGGTTACCTGAGCTCCCTAAGTCCCTGCAGTAGTAATTAATAAGAATAACAGAAAAGGAATTGACGCTTTTGAGCTGTGGTGTTGGAGAAGAGCACCGAACATCCCATGGACAGCCAAAAGAACAAACAGATATGTCTTGGAGAGGATATAGCCAGAGTGCTCTTTGGAGGCAAGAATGATGAGGCTTCACCTTCCATGCTTTGGACATGTTGCTAGGAGGGGGCTATTCCTTAGAGAAGGACATGATGCTGGGAAGGGTGGAGGGTCAATGAAGGAGAGGAAGACACTCAGCAGTTGACACAGTGACTGCTGTAATGGGCTCTTGTATATCAGAAAGCGTGAAGATGGCGAGGACAGGACTAGGTTCAGATGTTTCTTTCATAGGGTTGCTGTAAGTCATACTCAACTCGACGACACCTAACAACAACAACAACAGCAGCACTTTAATTCAGGCTGGCTGCCTGGTGATCCAGGCCTCTCTTCTCTGCTGCATGCTGCCCACCCTTGTATGATCCCTATTCCAGAAGTGGACTGTAGTTATAACATTCCTTAGGAGGAGCCTATTCCAGAGGCAGATTGTAATTAAAACATCCTTTATGTGGAACCTTATTCTGGAAGTGGACTGTAGTTATAACATTCTTTAGATGAAACCCTATTCCAGAAGTGGACTGTAGCTATATACCATTCCTTAGATGATATATTCCGGAACTGGACTGCAGCTGGATCATTCCTTAGGTGGAACTCGAAGCCAGACATGGACTGTAGTTACTCTGATCCTGCCACTGGAGCTCTGGAAATAGCAATGGGGCTTGCCCTTTTCCCTTCTTCCTTCTGGTCCCTTCAACCAGTTGGTAAAGAAGGAGAGGACTAAAAGCCGCTTCCCAGGTGGTTTAAAGCCCGTTCTCTTTCAGCAGGTGACTGTGTCCACAAGTGGTAAAATGTTAACCTGCCAATGTGTCAGCCTGGCAGGATGGAGGCAAGGTGTTCTAACATGTCAGGTCTCCCTCTCATTCAAATGAAAAGAAATAAAGTAAAAATGGTAGTGAGGCACCACATCCACCAGGCAAGAAGGAATCTGCATGTTGTTGTCTTCCCTTAGTAAAACAATACTGCCATTAACGTGTCCTCACAACAGCACTAATTAGACATTGCCTCAAAGCCACTTTAATCTTTGAGCTTATAATTGGTTCTAAGGCCCTGCTGGTTGTGTGTGAAGAGGCAGTCTCATAGGAACTTAATCATAATGAGTCTTCTTTTTTAACTTGTATCGAAATCATGTAGAGGTACAGTATAAACTTGGTGTGCAGACAGACTTGTACAGAAAGTGCCAGTGGCTTTTCTTTTAACAGTAGTGAACTTCTACTTGGCCCTGTGTTTTGTTTCCTTCTAAGACAAATCACCTTCTTTTCATGGTGTAAATTTAACTTTGCAGTTCACACATATTTGAATACTATTCATCAGGCAGGGCGCCTTAGCAGAAAGGTTGGAACACGTACAATAGGCATATTTTTAGCCTTCTTGTCGCATTCACGAATGTAAATAGCCATTTCTATATTCGTTTGATGTGCACGGTCTGCCTTTTACTATTGTTTATGTAGAAGAAATATGGTTCAGTATGCAGAGGAAGAAGTTGGCAATTCCGGTTCCATTGCGTTTTTCAGAAGTTTTTGATGACTTGCTTCTTGAGCAAAAGTTAACTCAATGCGATCTGAGATTTAACCAACAATATTTTCATAATTAGAGATATCTTACTTGGTAGAGTAGAGGATCAAAGAGAAAGAAGACCCTCAATGAGTTGGATTAATTTAGTAGCTTTAATAATGGGTTTAAGCACAGCAGTTGTGGGATGACTCAGGATTGTGCAGGGGTTTGCTTGGTTGTGTGCGTGGTTGCTGTGACCCCTCCAATTTCAGTGAATCCTTTAGCATAGGGGTCTATATGGAGTTGTGCTGCTAACCCAAAGGGGGCTCCTTTGGTGATTGGGATTCTCCATTTCCAGGCTCCTCCTGAGGCAATGGAAAACCTACTGGAGGGTCAGCTGTGAGTAGCTTTCCACTCAACAGCAATGACTGATTGTTGAATTTGATCTAGTTACAATCACTTTAAGTCATTTTTTAATCATGTTAAAGACTTTTTCAAGTGGTCATTTTAAGTGCACAGTAAAATTTTTGCTGGGCCTATACGATTTTTCTTGAACCTATTTTACACAGCCTAGAAAGTCTCAATGTTCAAAACCAGTTTTAATTTTTTTTAGTATTGCCACTCCTGCTTTTTTGAGGTTGCCATTTGGTTGGTATATTTTTTCCAGCCTTTGATTTTGAGTCTATCTTTCTCTTCCTTTTTTAGATGTGTTTCTTGTAGGCAACGTATTTATGGCTTTATTTTTTTTTTATCCATTCTGCTACTCTTTTTTCTCTTAATTGGTGAATTTTAATTTTGTTTAGATTAGTTTGAACCTCACATGGAGTTGATTGGTACCTGAAAAATGTTTAATCTTAGATATAGTCATTTCAAGTTAAAATCAAGCCATCACTATCTGAGTAACTATCATCACCTAAGCAGACAGTCTTCTCTATTTCTAGAATCTCTACTGCTGGAAGGCCACAGAGGTTCCAGTTAGCATTTCAGAATTAATAAGTCTGTGTGTGTCTCATTCGTGATAGTATTTCACAGGATGTCAGGCAAGACAAACATTAAATCCAGTGATGGTTCAGAGGCCCCGTGCATTTGCAGCTAAGCATCGCACACCTGTCTCCACATTTCTGAGCCATTTCTTCATGTCTGCTGGGGATCACTCACAGAACGGGCTGCAGGAGTGCAGGAAGGCCCTGTAGTTAGTAAGATAAGCCATGTTGCCGTCATTTGACATCTCTCTCCTCTCCATCCTCTGCCCCTATGTTGAAATGCACCTAGTTTGCCTTCTACGGAAACCTGTCTCCCAGAAGGTCACTGTATCGCACGCTGTCGGATGAAAGCATCTGCAGTAATCGGAGAGGGTCCTCCTTCGCCAGTTCCCGCAGCTCCATACTGGACCAAGCCCTGCCCAACGACATTCTCTTCAGCACCACGCCACCCTACCACAGCACGTTGCCTCCCCGCACCCAGCCTGCGCCCAGCATGGGGGGCCTGAGAAGTAAGTGAGCCCAATTCTGCTCCTGGTGGGTCCTCCAACCCTGTCCCGCACTGGGGGACAGAGAAGTAAGTGAACCCCGTGCTGCTCCCAGGTGGGTCCTCCAACCCACATCCAGCACTGGGGGACAGAGAAGTAAATGGTCCCATAGCCTTCACCCAGCATGGAGGGCCTGAGATGTAATTGGTCCTCCATCCCATGCTCTGCATGGGCATCCTGAATAGTAAGTGAGCCCCGTGCTGCTGCCAGCTGGGTCCCCCAGCCTAGATGCCACTGAATAGCCTTTAGGCTTCAGGGCTTCTTTCAGTTCCACATCTGAGAGGAATTGTGTTTTGTTTTCCGTCATTTTCAAATGCTGTGGTAGCCCCAGAGTGCGCAAATTTAGCAGTATCCTACTCATCATGAAGAAGATTGATAAACACTTAGTAAACATTTTTGGAAAGTTAAATGTCCCTTTTTAAATTATATCTCAGCTCTTGTCTCTGTGGAAGCAATGATCAAGTCTCTCTCTTTTGTTTCAAAAGAGACCTGTGGGGGCAGCAAGGCAGGTTTTCCAGCAGTCCTTAGCTTGGTTTTGTAGCTTTGTGATTCTGTAGTTCTGACATTAAACACCAGGTGCTGGTAAAATAGATGGACTAGAATGAGAAGGTCTGGATCTTACAACCAGCTTGTCTCAGGAACACAGGCTAGGAGAGCTTTTTCTGTGTCAGAGTTCACTCCTTAAATGTTTCCTTCAAATCCTGAGAATCTCTGCTTGACAGTGTACACTGTCTGTTCTTTGGTGCCCTGATGGCATGGTGTATCCCGCTGTCAACCAAAAGGTTAGGTCTCCCAAAGACTGAGTCTCTTTCCTACATTCACCCTTTCACTTTGCTTCATATGAAAGATGAAAGATGAATGCTTCAGTGTATTACTAGTGGTAACCTAGTTGATGAGGAGATGCACTGCCAGCCCAAAGGCAAGCAGTTCAAATCCAACATCTGGCCCTCAGGAAAAAGGTGGACAATCCTAGTATAGCCTCTGAAAAACTGCTGGAGAGTCTGCTAGGAGTTGGTTTCAACTCAACAGCAAAGTTAGCTTGGCTTTTGTTTTTGTTTGGTGGTTTTGTTTTGTTGTGTTGTTGGGTTTTTGTTTTGGGTTTGGTTGTTGTTTTGTTTTTTTTCTTTTTCTTTTTTGTAGTGTTTCAAAAGTATACACAGGACATAAACAAGTTGTACTGAGCATCCAGGGTCAGGTTTCAAAGCTGCTTGGCTTCACTGTGCAATTAATCCCCTAGGGAAATCAGAAAGAGAAGCGCTTACTCTCTTAAAAAAACCACTGATATTTGGTGTGATGCTTTCTCCTATTTCTCTGTGTAAGGAACTACTAAAAAAATTACCCAGGCTTGATGGAGAAGATGGAAAAATTTAAAAAAGGAACTGGAAGTCATGTACACTGATGCCCATTCCCCTCCGAATGTTCTGATTGCCAAACCTTACTCCCTGAAGTGGTGGAGCTTCAAGGAAGTGTTGGCCTCTGCATAGCTCCACTTCCAGGGGCCTTTAACTGCCCTAGGGACCCATGCAACTACTGCCTCTTCATCTACTTGGGACCAGTTTCCTGATTCTCTGCTATCTGGGATTTCTGGTCAGTCAGCACATTTTGTCAAAGACAAGACACTGAAAGCTATTTGATAATCTGAGACTGGCACAGCCAGAAGAGTGATGCCAGGCAGATACCTGAGGGGACTCTTTAGTTCCCCAGCCAGGGAACTGAGTTTTTCAGGGAGCTGTAGCTTCATCTTGGCACTGGGAGTGGAATGGCCTGGTGGTGACATTTGCTATGTAGCTCCCAGGCAGAAAGCTCAGTGGGCAAACAGATTCTTTTAGAATTTAAATCTGCAGAAGAGAGAACTTCCACTGCAAATAGGTAACTTACAGAGTTTGCTTATCATTTGGAAGGGGATATAATGAAAGGACAGGGTCCACAGAGTTATCCCTCTACCATGGATACTAGGAAAGCTAATCTCTGCACCTTTTCCACATCCAGTTATTGCAGCCACACCCTCCCTTGCTGGTACTTTAGCTTATGAAAGCCCCAGATTTGAGCCTGGCTGCGTGCATTTCTTTTCTTGATACAAGATGTTAATCCAGCCTTGTGAGACATACACTTAGCAAACAGGTGTAGCTGTGACTAATGTCGTGATTCGTATATATTTCCTGTGAAGTCTCTAAAATGGGATGTACCAGCATATCTTCAGCTTAGGGTAAAGGGTGACCTGAGTCAGGAATTGGCAATAATTGTGAAGTGTTGCTCTTCGGTACTTCAGTTAGGATCTTTGTCTCCTTCCATCTTTGGTGGATTTTAAAAATAAAAGTTCTTTAGTGGCCCAGAGGGAGCTCTGTTGGCCTGGTGGGTAAGGAGTTGCACTGCCAACCCAAAAGCAGATAGTTTAAATCTACCTGTTGCCTCATGGGAGAAAGATGGGGCTTCACCTCCCATGTGATGTACAGCCTCAGAAAACTCACTGAAAGGTCAGCTACATTTTGGTTCCAGCTCCACAGCAATGAGATTAATTTAGTAGCCTAGATAGCAAAGCAGTGCAGCTGAGAAGCAGCTGAACAGTTTCTAGACCATATTACAGATGATTCTAAAAACATCAGTGGAGTTTCTTCCTCCTTGGCTGAATGGGCCCCTGGCCTTACTCACGATGATTGCAATCTTTGACAGCCTCAGCATGCTTCAAGGTAATTCTTGATTTTATTTCTGATGGAGTGGCTATGAAAACTCCAAAGAATGGTAAAACTTTTCTATGAAGATAACTCAGAAGAAAGTTCTGCTCAAATTATATAAACAGTATAATTTCTGTTCCCCAACTCTATCATTCCAAATTAGGCACCTCAAAAAAAGTGCTTTTTGTCTTTGGAAAAAGAGGGAACGTTTTAGAGTAAAAAAAAAAAATTCATTATTTTATATATGGTTACTTCTTAGAAGAGATGCACCAGAATGAAGCCGTCAAGCTGGAGTGTCTGGTCGGTGGTTGGGGCCTGTGGGGCGGACAGCAGGCGGTGTGGGAGACACTGTGCTGGGGAAGGCTGCCCTGCAGAAGGCCCGTGGCTCCTCAGACACATGAGGCGCATGTGTGGCTGCTTCAGGGTAGCACATGCTCCTCGGCTTTTGCAGATTCTGTCTCCCACTTAATAAGCAGCCCGTGGTTTCTGGTCGGTGATTGTGAATCCTCAGTTATCTGACCAGGAGACAGCTGTCAGGAAGCCCTCTCAGCATCTATAAAGTTAACAGTAGAGTCAGACTCAACAACGTGGATGCCATGATTCTGGGTCTCGGTGAGCAAACAGGAAGCCACAGATCCATGTCCCAGACTGGCGAGGAGGAGACCTAGCAGCCTGGCCCCTTCAGAACCCATCGGTCTCTTAATCAACCCGTGCTGGGCCTCCCCATCGAGTGATTAATGGGAACCAGGAAGCGACAGGGAAGGTGGTTCCCCAGCTTGTCCCCTGCTCGCACACCAGGGACGTCCTCTCCTTCAGCCTGCTCAGTCACACTCCCTCAAGACTCTCAGAAAGGCATGCAAAGGGCACCTGACTACGTATGGCTAACATCCTTTTCTCAGTTACAAGTGGCACAAATGCAGCTTGATGCTGTCAGGAACAGTCAAAGCTTCATTCAGACACTGCTGTTTTTCACCATTTGGGGAGCGTAACACACAGCACACACTGAGATCAGGGAGCAGGAACAGCACCCCTTCTCCCACTCACCTCCATGCACTTCCCCTCATCTCTAGCTCCTGATAGAACTCATGAGGGTATGAGACCGGACAAGTAGAGTGTGCTAGTCTCTTGGGTAAGTATTTGTGCTGCCAACTCAAACAAAGGCAGGTGGTTCAAATCCACTCGCCACTTTGAGAGAAGATGAGCAATTTCCCCTTATAGAGTTTATAGCCTCTGAAAACCTGCCAGAGACTCAGCTGTGAGTTGGTTTTGACTCAATGCAGAAGCAGTTGAATGTACTTGTTGTTGTTATGTGTTGTATACTTGCCTGCAACTCATAGCGACCCAGTGTGCAACAGCTCTGAAGCCTGCTCTATCCTGTGCTAATCTTATTGTCTCTGACACACCTACCCCATTACCCCTGTCACTGAGTTAACCCATCTCATCAAGGGTTTTCCTCTCCTGCACTGTCCCTCCACCCTTCCAAGCAGCATGTTCCTCTACAAGGACTGGTCCCTCATTGCAACATCCCCAAAGTATGTCAGATAAAGATTCAGAGTTCTTTCCTCCAGGGAGCAGCCTGGTTTCACCCTCTCTAAGATGAATCTGTTTGTTCTCCTAACAGACCATGGTATATTCGATAATCTTCTTTAGTACCACAGCTCAAAGGCATTAATTCTCCTTCTATCATCCCTAATCATTATCTAGCTTTCTGATGCGTGTTGTTGTTGTTGTTGTTACTAGGTGCCATCGAGTCATAGACAACTCATGATGACCCTATGAACGAAAAGCCTGAGCACTGTTCATAGAGTTTCCAGAGGCAAGCCATTTCGGAAGTGGATGCTACTCCTGCTTCCAGGCTTGTTTTAATCGGGAAGCTCCAGCAGACACTGTCCACCATGGGTACCTATTAGCACGTTTGGCACATCACTGTCCCAGTGTTCAGCATCACAGCAACCACTAGTTACCTCTGTACAGCAATACACAGACCAGTGCTCTACCACCTAGAAGAATGTTTGAGAGGAAAACAATTTGACCAGGCCCGAGGGCCTTTTGGGACTTTAAGCCACCACCTACCCTAAACCCTAGGCCAAGTCTCGAGGGCCTCGCTCCTGGGGCGAAGAGCAGTACCACATATCAGACCCAAGCCCGAAGGAAGCACACGACCTCACAAAGTTGCAATTACTTGAACATGAGGACCACCATGCCATGCTTGGGCAACAAGAAGCCACAGAGACTCTGTTCTGATACATAGCATGTAATAATTTATTTATGTAATGCCCCCTCCTTGATGCT